CACCTCAGTGTGAATGCAACTGTGATCTTGCACCCCACTGGGCTATCAAATTCATGCCAGGCGCCGTGCATTATTAGTTAAGCACAGTTGCCAATTGCATCCTTTCTTGCCAAATATAATCGACAGGGTAAGTCGCTGGCGTTTACCCACCAAACAAGGAAGATTTGCAAATTTATGGACGATCTACACGTGCTTCTACCGATTTCAACTATCTTCCATGGAACATGTGGACGACGGTTATAGCTACGTATTGAGAATTTGATCAATGCCCATAGTAATTAAACAGGTAGCTTGCGGCAAGTGAAGTTGGCAAGTGACAATATAAAAACTCGCCGCAGAATTATGCGGCGTCTTTTTCTATGGCATGTTTTGCAAATTTAAGAAGTCACTCTCAATGTAGGAAACTCACGTTTTACTCAGTGCCTGTCTGTTAAATGTCAAGCAGTGTAATTTCATAGAGAGAGGATAACATGCCAAACGCACTAGCTAGCTACTCACCCCCAATGGCAGCGACTTGTTATTTGTCCGAAACGCAAATCTGCCCATTTTGACAGATTCAACGAGATTGGAACCATTGAGTGCCTTCAGTGCAGCCACCAGCTCCAAGTTGGTTCGCAATGGGAAATCCTGTCCAACCAAATTCACCAGGTACTTCCACGTACCGCGACTCCTCAACGCCTGTTCGGCACATGTGATTTGCGGCACAAGAACTGATTCGTCACCCCAATGTACTGCCACGCGTACTTCCACATTGGCACCAAAACACGTCGCAACACCACGTAGGGCCTCTATGAATAAAACGTCCGAACGGCTGTCAGCATGAATGAAGTAGTAGTTGTTTTGTCTGTAAATCATTCGGAGGAGTCGAGCAATCTGACGCACGTCCTTATGCACCACCAACGTAAACGCTATATCCATGTCAACGTGAGGATCGACTGTGATGGCAAAACGCTCCCGGAACTGCAGGCAGTGTGGATGAGTAGGATAGTTGATTTTGGCAAAGAAATCTGCTGATTTCAATGAAGAGTCTGCAAGTGATTGGGATGTTTCACGTATGGTGTAATTCTTGAAAATAAGCAGCATTACTCCTAGTGTTATTATGGAAATGATAATACAACTTCCGCGTTGTCGCCGCAGACATCTGATAAGTTGCGAATCCACTAAAATAAAACAAAACGCAACCAGACATTATGCAATTCGAAAAAAAAATAAGGTCATCCTAGTTAACAACGGAAATGCATATTTATGGGTGTGTTCGTTAAATCTGTAATGTCATGATTTGTGAGAATGTGTTAAGCAAGGGTAATTGTCGATGACCTATGAGAATTCAAATAGAATGCGAAAATCGGCGTAAGTTTCATCAATGTAATGACAAAGCAGCAATTAAATGTCAATCAGCCTGCCTGCTAATTTCGTTGATTGGATAAAAACTTTTGAATTGCCTAAGGATGGAGATCCGTTATGCAAACAAGCACAATACACTGCCTTTACTCCTCCCACTTCCTCTTTTAGGCATCCTACGCCAAATTCCCCATAAATGCCCTGCGTCGCAGTCAAACGAATCACGGTGTAATGTGAAAGCATGTGCCTGGTTGAAGTTGGGCTGCTGTTTGGTCATGATCCTCTCAAAATTCCTGAATAGCACTGGAATTGATATCGTAGCAACAACAACATGTGTAGTACAAGGATCGCCTTATGCTGGACTAAGTGACTCGCGAATATGAAACCCAGTCACAAGCCCAAAAATCGTAATGAACAATCGGACACATCTTCCACCTTACCACATTGATTTACACCACGTATGCACTCTCTCCAATTTGCCGCTGTGCCATCAATAGACGGTGCGCAGACTGTGTGGGCTGCAGTATGCCAACCTTAACAACAGCTTGTCAAGATGCTTCTTTAAACCTCCGTTTCACTGCACCTCAATACGCAGCCAAAACGCGCGCTCTGGACGCACATTTGCACGACCCCTGTCTCCACAAGCCCTTTAGTTGATGACCAGAAAGGAATTTTAAAATGGATTTTATCCTGGATTGCTAATTCACGCAGGTCAATAGCACAAGTTTCAAATGTGAGTCCTGTGAGGAATTCATGCTACGTGAACCGATGAACGAATCAAGGATGAGAGACAACTTGAATGCCTATGCTGTCACAAAGCAAAGCAGACTGCGATTGTACATTTTTAGCGGAAATATTTAAAGGTGTAGGACAGGCATTACTAACACCCAACAGAAACAAAGACATGAGAAGTACAAATATAAGAGATGGTTGCTTAATTGTAGGAAAAATATGATGAACACTGAGGTAACTAACCAACGTGGAATATCAGTTGATATTGTGAATGCTGATTCATTGGAAACTGAAAGAAACCAAACCGAAAATTGGCAATGCATTAGCGGAGCAGTTGATAAATATATATCGACGCTTTGGTCGTATTGGTAGTTATGCGTCGCGCAGCGTGTGGTCTACATATTAGGTGTTATGTATAACTAGCCAATTAGGAGAGCGGGAGAATGACTCTACACGTACACAAAGAAATAAGCTTTTTCGATTCGTTTTTACTAAATAGAATCTCTTCTTTTCCAAAACCGTTAGTCTCAGGCATTGTGTAGAAGTTCGTGTGTGTTCTTAGGTCCAACTGTAAATTTTCGATCTACGCCAATTACAACATCGGTTGAACGAGGAGACGACTACAGAGGCGTAAATATTGCCATTCCTAATTTTTGTGTGTTAAGGGTCTCAAGTTACAGTCGCAAACCATGCCGGGGCCACTGCATTGAATCAAGCTCAATTGCGCTAATCTAATACCCCCACAGACGCTGAAGACCAGAGACGACGAGGAACTATCATCTACAAGCTAGCTTAACCACGTTGTGCATGTCGTGTACATGCACAGAGGTGAAAGATCCAACGATACCAAATGGCTGACGGCCAGTCCATGAAAATTGTACATGCACTGCAATCGACACGATTTGCCACGTATGCAGAGCAAATATGCTGAATTCTTGCGTCAGACAATGCCCAAGTACATCTTCCCTTTCTAAGTTGTCAAATTTCCAGAAAGATGGAACAACCAGGCTACAGATACCAGTCCGTAAAGTGTCCTCATTGCCCCATCGTAAATTAATATCCCACTTTTGTCACCTCCTCGGCATAACCGACATTTTACTATCTGTGGCTGACCCAAAAATCAACATTGGCAGCGTGATTAGTTTAATTCACCTAGTAGATTAACATGGTAACCTCTAAACCTGTGTTCGTTTACGGAATTCTGCTGACTTTTTAGCTTATTTGCGCTAAACCTGATATTTCCTTGCACGTGACTTAAGCAGACCTACGTGTATTAACTGCAATAATCCGAGCATGTAGAACACGATCACCAATTTCAACCATACTGAAAATCACTGGGCACGGTCAATTAGTTGGTGTCAGATATCGCCTATAAGACCACATGCGACCAATGAATTCATTAATTGTTCAATAAAGCAATGCGGATGTTAATGAGTAGTTGGCTTCTCCAGGCACCATGTTTAACGTCTAATTCCGTCTCAATTGGTTCAGGTAGAGACCGTCACAGTCCGCATAGCATTTCTAACATTGCTGTTCAGGCCAAAGTAGCCACAATGTATCACTCATATGTGTTAATTACTGAAAGAAAATGATAGTGAAAGCAAAATGCTTATGTTGGGCACTCACTCCTTGAGGCAACAGCTTGTTATTCTTCCACTTCGGATATTTATTCAGCTTATACGATTCAACGAGGTTGCATCCATTGGGTGCCTTAAGTGCAGCCACCAGTTCCATGATGGTTCGCAGTGGAAAATCCTGTTCCATCAAATTAATCAAGTACTTCCACGTGGCATGATGACTCAGCACCTGTTTCGCTCAGATGACTTGTGGTAGCAGGGCACTTTCGTCGCCCCAATCCATCGCAGTTCTCTCTTCTTCTGGAACCAATTCCACATTGGCACCAAAACACGTAACCACTCCACGCATAGCCAATTGGAACTCAATGCTTGAGCGCTTGTCGATGTGAGTGCAGAAGTAAATGTCATCGTGAAACACCAACGTGAACTTTATTTCCATGTCTGCCTGGGGACCGAGTGCTAAGGAAAAGACTTGCCAAAATTGGCGGCAGTATGGGTGAGCAATAGAAATGATCTGAGAGAAGACTTCCATCGACTACAATGTGAGTGGAACGATTGTTTGGAGTGTTCCATGTTTAAAGTAAGGTGCTTTAACAAACAGCAATGCTCCAATTATTAATAGCGTGAGTAATATGCCGTGTCGATGTCGATGGACACGTCGGTAAACGTGCTGAGTACCTGCAATAATGATCAGACATGACTTGATTGCTTAAACGTTGGGAGTAAATTGTTCTACATTCGTTCAGATACAAATGAATGTGCTGAATTATAAGTAAGAAAGTCATGTTCATTTATGGTTAAACGCTTATGAAAAAATTAATGGTTTTAGTGTGAAAAATTAAAACCCACAGACAACAGTACCTATCGTAATGCTGCAAATGGAAGTCTTTAGAGTAAACGGTTGGATCAAGGTAGTTTGTAGTGGCCAGGATTTAGCACTACCTTACAACCCTCTAGTTAACAGCCCGTAACAACCCGAGGACGGAGGGAAGAGAGGCAACCGTGAACACGACTGTTTATTAGCGTCACGCCAGCCAAGCGTGTGGATGAGTGAACGGATGACAGGCATCGGATGCAGTAACCAATGAAAGGGGATGAGTCATTGTCACTGTCAAGTCGGTAACCAGGGTTCACTCAGGCGCGATCGCTGTTAATCCGCTACAAGTTCCTGCCGTAGACGACTGCTTTTATACATCAGCTTTGGCACCATTGATTCAGTCCATCGTATTCCCTGTGGTTGATTGTCAGCGGAGTAATTTGAGGCAAAATCTACAATAACGCCAAATGATCTGCTCCGAAAATTAAGACAACTGAAACTTACCCAGGAAGTGCAATTTTTTTGCACTCATGACATTATTGGACTGGAGGAAGACCTCATGATTGAAGCGACAGTTTTCTAATCACTGCCTCCTGGGGCAAAACGCCATGAATTATTAGTAAAGCACCGTTGTCAATCGCAAGCTTTCTTGCCAAATATAATCGACAGGGTAAGTCGCTGGCGTTTACCCACCAAACAAGGAAGATTTGCAAATTTATGGACGACCTACACGTGCTTCTACCGATTTCAACTATCTTCCATGGAACATGTGGACGACGGTTACAGCTACGTATTTAGAATTTGATCAATGCCCTTAGTAATTAAACAGGTAGCTTGCGGCAAGTGAAGTTGGCAAGTGACAATATAAAAACTCGCCGCAGAATTGTGCGGCGTCTTTTTCTATGGCATGTTTTGTTAACTTAAGAAGTCACGCTCAATGTAGGAAACTCACATTTACTCATTTCTTCTCTGTTAAATGTCAAGTAGTGTAATTTCATAGAGAGGGGTTAACATATCAACCGTATTAACTAGCCACTCACCCCTAATGGTAGCGACCTGTTATTTGTCCGAGACGCATAATTGCCCAATTCGACAGATTCAACGAGACTGGATCCATTGAGTGCCTTCAGTGCAGCTACCAGCTCCATGTTCGTTCGCAGTGGGAAATCCTGTCCAACCAAATTCACCAGGTACTTCCACGTACCGCGACTCCTCAACGCCTGTTTGGCACATGTGATTTGCGGCACAAGGACTGACTCGTAACCCCAATGTACTGCCACTCGCTCTTCGTGTGGAACTAATTGCACATTCGCACCAAAACAGGTCGCAACACCTCGCAGGGCCTCTGTGAATAAGAAGTCTGAGCGCCTGTCAGCGTGAATGCAGTAGTAGTTATTTTGTCTTTAAATCATTCGAAGGAGTCGAGCAATCTGGCTAACGTCTTTATGCACAGCCAGCATGAACGCTATATCCATGTCAACGTGGGGATCAACTGCGGTGGTAAAAAACCCCCGGAAATGGAGACAGTGTGGATGAGTGGGGGAGTTGACTTTGGCAAAGAACTCTGCTGATTTCGATGAAGAGCTTGCTGTGTTGTTTGAGGGTAAACAGCATTGCTCCAAGTGTTATTATCAAGATGAACGTGCAAATGCCACTTTGTCGACGCAGACATTTGATAAGTGACAGGTCTCCTGAAAATTTAATAGAACACGATCCGCCATTACAAAATACTTAAAAAAAGTCATTCTAGTTAAAACGGGAATGCATAGTTATGGGTGTGTGCACTAAATCTGTAATGTTATGCTATGTGAGAAACCGTAAAGGTAAGTGTCGATGACTTTAGTAAAGTCAATGAGAATGCGAAAAGCAGCGTTGGTTTCATGAAGGTGAAGGCAAAGCAACAGTTTTATCTGTTTACTTGAATAGATGCTATTAAATTGCCTAGAAATGAAGATCTGTGATACAAACGAGCCCAATGCACTGCCTCTGTTGGTCTTACTTCCCCTATCAGGTACCCAATACCATAATCACCCCGAATACGCTGTGTCCCAGCGAGTGACGCCTTGAAGTTGAGCTGCTGTTTGGACTTGGTCCTCTCAAACTTCCTGAACTGCATTGAAGTGAATATTTCAACAATAACCACATGTGTAGCACAAGGATCGCCTTACGCTGGACTATTTTAAGCGCAAATACGTCAACCCAGTTCTATGCCCAAAAAGCACAATGATCAATGGGACGCATATTCCACCTCACCACCTTCATTTACACCACGTTTGCACTGCCTCTAATTCACAGCAGTGCCTTAAATAGATGGTGCGCAGGCTACGTGGGCTGCAATATGCCGACTTTAACCACACCTAGTCAATTTGCTTTTTTAAACCCCACTTACACTAACAACGTAGCCAAAACGCGCTCTTTGGGCACACATTCGCACGACCCGTGTCTCCACAAGCCATTTTGTTGCGGGCCAGAATGGAAATTTGAAACGGATTTTATCCTGGATTGTTTATTCACGCAGGTCAATAGCACAAGTTTCAAATGTGAGTCCTGTGCGGAGTTCATGCCACCTGAATTGGTGAACGAATCCAGGATGAGAAACAACTTGAATGCTTACGCTGTCACAAAGCAAAGCAGACTTCGTTTGTACGTCTTTAAACAAGAATATTAAGAGGTGTAGGACAGGCAATACTAACACCGAACATAAACACAGACATGAGTGGAGCAAATTGAGAAGATGGTTTCTTAATTTTGGCAAAAATGTGATTAATACTGCGGTAACTCACCAACGTGGGACAGCATTTGATATAGTTAAAGCTGAGTCATTAGAAATTGAAAGGAACCAAGTCGAAAATTGACAGTGCAGTTACAGAGCAGTTGGTAAATACATCGACGCGTTAGTTGCGTTGGTGGTTATACGTCACCGAGCGTGTGGCTCACATATTATCTGTTATGAAAAACTAGCCAATTATGAGAGCAGGTGGATGACTCCACTCTCAGACGGAAAAATCAGCTCATTTGGATGAAAATAACAGCCCTTCTCAATTCAAGCACCTTTCGTGTGACACTTGTAATGTTCTCAGATTGCATTGAAGTTGCTCCAATTTCATAAATGCACAAAAAATCTCAAGAACTCCTAGGAGACAGCATTAGCTCACTGATTTGATTCTCTAGGACAGTTTGCCTCAGCCACGTCGATTTAAACCACAGCTCTAACGCATGCTCCTCTCTATTCAAACAATTAATTGCGCCTTCCTTTAGCCGAACGACACTTAGAATTAATCGCCTAAAGTACGTCGTTCTTTAGTAAATGGTGGTATTCGAAATTGTCAATGCATGTGTCACTTGGAGTTGATGAGAATATTGGAGCATAGTTTGAACTGTCACCTTAACACGGAGGTCAACGGTAAATCTGCTTCAGAGGAGACGATGATGGCCGCACGCACTGACTGTTTCATTATTTCTAAGGCAACTGATCGTCTGTGGAACACTGGAGTGTGACCAACTAATTATTTAGACTTACGTGATAAATTTCGTGCAACTGGTTTCTTTACGTGAACCATTGTCGAAATAGCCACTTCCGTCAACGCATCTGCAGTTAAAAAGAGGAGATTTCGCATTATTCGACAGGCAACTTGTCTGATATGCTGTGATGTGCCTGTTATGTTAATCACCTCTTCAACAAAATACCGGTATTGTCCCTGATCAAGATTAAGCCATTTTGGCCGTGTGAATGCCTAATGCTGTAATATTTACAGGTGTAAGGCAGTTGAATGCATCATCAGTCATCACATGAACAGTTTTATTTGGAAATCTAACGCAATTATCACAAATTCAGAGTCATATTTCAGCAATGTACTAATGTACTTAAATCAAATCGAAATTAACTGCTTTAACTCAGGCGTGCTTAGGAAAAATGTGTTCAAAAGCTTGGGAAGAACTCCTAGAACCTACCATTAGCTCTCAACCACTAATTTGTCATTCTACGAGACTCTTGAAATAATACGGTGACCTCGGGATCTAAAACTCAGGCGTTTCAGAATGCTGCATTGATCCTAACCAGATCATTAAATCTAGTGGCTACGTTTGAAAACGTAATAGGTGGTGTAAGATAAATGCTAATAACAGAGCCGCGCTGCCTAAAATTTACAAATTTACTGCTTATGTCGCTCGAAATTTCATAAAAAAACTTCAATGTGTTCAGCTATCCGTTAGGCGAATCTCGCACTTGCTACATCAATAGTTTTAGAAGGTATATTTTACTAGACTTGGGCTTATCGTAGCTTTGAGTAAAATTTATTCCTACCACAAAACACGTCCCGAAACGAACCTCACGCCTCTCGTGTAATGATTTGTGGCTTATCCAGCATTGCCACACTGTCTCCTGGTTTTCACTATTCCTACGCATTTAATTGAATTAAACCAGTTGTATTCACTACGGTAGAGTACGCAGAGGCTTGGCGCGCGCCCACTGGTCTAAAACGTTTGCCCACCTCACGAGATGCCCGTTGATTTGCTCCTCTGCGAACATTGATCGATGACCTTACGCCCACGCCTCCACGCCATCCAATCACGAGCTGCGATATCACTTCAACTGCTCAAGCGCAATTTTCGTCCCATTTACCGTGTTAGTGACTTTAGTCATGGGCATGCGGGCTGTGTTTGGCTCGGTGCTCGTCCTATTTATCTTTGTGGGTGGTATTTCTTCTCGGATCCGCACCAACCAGTGGCTAGTACGACTTCACACGGATGGCGTAGAAAATCGTGATGTTATGCGGTCACGCGCCAAGCAAATTGCCGAGGAGACTGGTTTCAAACCTTGGCTTGTAGATCACGATCATTACTTTAATCCCAATGAATTCCTGTTTCTTCAACCAGCCTTGTCTAAACCGAGCAAATCCCTCCACGAAATTCTGGTCCGCCATCCAGACGTTGAGAGCGCGGAGCAGTTGAGGGGTTACAAAAGAACCAAGCGTGGATTTAGACCTATCGAAAAGACTAATTCAAGGAAAGGTGCTTCTGGACGCCTTCTGACACCCACTGAGTCAGAAATCATTCGAAGCCTTTCCTCAGATCCACTCTTCCGAAGGGAGTGGTACATCCACAACACCGGCCAAGCCGGGGGAACACCTGGACTCGACTTGAATGTTCTTTCTGCATGGGCCCAGAATATCACCGGTCGTGGGGTGACTACAGCAATCATGGACGATGGAATTGATTACCTTCACCCGGACATTGCACCAAACTATGCGGCCGAGGCTAGCTACGATTTCTCTGGAAACGACGCCTTCCCATATCCACGGTACACAGATGATTGGTTTAACTCTCATGGAACTCGATGTGCTGGAGAAGTGGCAGCTGTCGCGGGAAACGGGGTGTGTGGTGTCGGTGTGGCACCAAATTCTCGTGTCGCAGGTCTTCGGATGCTTGATCAGCCTTACATGACGGATCTGATTGAGGCAGCTGCCATGTCTCAGGCCAGGGATATAATCGATATTTACTCTGCCAGCTGGGGACCTACGGACGATGGTAAAACTGTGGACGGGCCCAGAAATCAAACCATGCAGGTAAAGCACTTTTGCCTGCCTTGACGTTATCATCGTGGTTATCTGCTTGCACTTATAGAGAAAAAAGCACCAAAAATATGGCTCTGTCGGATTCACAGTCCATTAACCGGGAGAACTGTTCAATTTTAACTCATCAAAGCAATTTAAACTTGCAATTTGTGTCTTTATACCTTGGAATATCATGAACTCGCCTAAATATAACGCCTATTTCTAACCAGGCAATTGTTGATGGCGTAAACAAGGGTCGTCGGGGTAAGGGATCTCTCTATGTCTGGGCTTCAGGAGACGGTGGACCGGAAGACGATTGCAACTGTGATGGCTACGCTGCGTCCATGTGGACGATCTCCATCAACTCAGCTACCAACGATGGCCAAACTGCCAGCTACGACGAGTCGTGCGCTTCAACGCTCGCGTCCACATTCTCAAATGGCAAATCCATGCTCAGGTAAGTGTGTTTTTAAAATCCTTTCGTCTAAGCATTCTACTCTATTGGTGCCAAAGATTGCTTTTTAATTGAATCTTTGAGGCATTTCCGATAAATTATTACTTCAAGGGGTTTTTCCGAAGTGGTGTACAACAATCTATTTTCAAGTTTGTGAAATTGGTTCAACAATCAGAGATTTACTGTGTCGGACTTGGCATGATTTGTGTAGTTTGGTTTCTAAGTAACCAACTTATGATTTGATCATAAAAAAATTAATTTGTGGACAGAGATTGGAGTAGTACTTCCCTCTTGTATGTTGGCAAAGATAATGAGGGTCGTTTTGGAGAAAACACCACAACAGGTAAATGTTTCATGAAGTGACAGTAAACGGCTCAAAGTGTAAATATGGCACAAATTTCGGCTTCATTTAGTAACCCTAACTTTGCTTAATTTTGTCCTTGAATGAAACTATTCCATAGATAGACTGATTTGCAAGGGGGCACTTGATTTAAAATACAATACTTGAGCGTTTCGCATCTCTTCTTGCAACCATCATTACTGGAATAAAGGGCGTTGCGTAGGATTAACTAATCACAGGCAGTGTGGGTGGGTCAGCAATTTTGATGATGCCGATGATATCATCACTCCACGAGCTTGAGTTGAAAGCTACACTGCTCTTAAGCTTGCAGCTGATTTTGAATTACAGTCTTGATACGGGGGTCGGCACCATCGACCTCTACGGCAACTGCACTCTCCACCATTCGGGTACTTCAGCAGCCGCTCCTGAAGCCGCGGGAGTTCTCGCCCTAGCCCTCGAAGCTAATCCTGAACTGACATGGCGTGACATGCAGCACTTGATAGTGCTCACTTCAAAACGCAACCACCTCTACGACAGAGAGGGCACTCACAACTGGACCATAAATGGCGCCGGCTTGGAGTTCAACCACCTCTTCGGATACGGCGTTCTAGATGCCGGTGATATGGTGAGGATTGCAAAGCTCTGGAAGACGGTGCCTG